ATGCTGACACTCTTAACTACGCTTACAGTCAGTAAGCAGAACGAAGGGGCAAAGGTTATCTGACCTAATTACCGAATAATCAGTTATTTGACTTACTAGATATAAGCCCACAAGTTCCATGTATAGTCACATGGTTATTCACTGACTAACTAATAACACTAAGCTATATTTCTGCTTGCTTCTAGGAGGATACACAATGCATCTGGTTACCACAACCGCTTATAGTATAACATCACTAAAAGTGACAGTTAAAATCCTGATTACACTTAGGCTGAAAGCGTTAACAGTGTGCGACTTCGGAGTTAACTTCAATGCACAGATTGTAAGGGGCTACGCTCCGTGGAGCAGACGCTTAGTATACGAGAGGTTGTATTCGATGAAGAGCTATTTACTCTATGCACTTACGTCGTGTTTGTTTACTTATTGGTGAAAGGTTAGGCCGGGGTATCTGAGCGAGTCGTCTCAGCGCTGCTTGGGCGGTGAGTAACATCCGGGTGTCAGCCCAAGCACCCGGATGTTACTTACTAACAACTTAGCTACCCTGATTAGCATGTGACACATAACTATAGTGGTACTGTGATGATTACTGAGAAAGTTGCGACCGCTTATTTTATCTATAAGCTATGTCTGTAATCATTTTACTATGACTCAGTTAACGTTAGACTTCCCATGAATTAAATACTGCAATCTGTTACAAGTTACTTGCTAAGTTTCTTATTTCTAATCCAAAAATGTCGGCATTTAACTTCAATCTTTTAAAAAATGGGTGCGTTTCTAAAACGAACGTTGTGTGCGTCTACGGGGACGGAGCATTTGACTTTAATGGTACAAAAATTACAGTTGGTAATAGTTCCGAAAACAACAACGGTGGCCTAGGCGGTTTTGTTGGTCCAGATCACGAGTATTTTCTTTACTGTGGATCGAAGTATCCGGAGATAGCAGTTGTGAGATTCAATAACAATACTAAAAAGTGGGAAGACCATGCATGTATGCAGTGGTTTAAATTCGAGACCAAAAAGAATATGTTCAAGAAGATATGGTTCACGAACGAAGAATCAGCCCTGATATTCCAACCTAAGAAAAAGTATAGAAAACATACCATGGAGCATGAGGATCTTACTGAAGATATATGGTGTATCAAACTTAACCTCTCTACGGGTCACTTTACGGGTATATCAAAAGGACAGTTTAGGAGACAGAGGCATTCTGCTTTAGATGAGAAGAGTGTATGGCCACTTCTTTCTTTAGGAAACGGCTCCTTGGAAGACACCCCCACCCCCCAACTGGAACATTCACTTGCATTCATGAACTCGGACCGCGAAAGACAAGAAAAAATGCTGGAGCAATTGGAACAGAAGAAATTACTGATTAACAAACTATGGTACATGGTTAATGAGTTGATAAGTATTGTGGGGTTGCATCGCCTATAAGCTACGTTTACGGATAGATTACATCCAAGTGTATTAGAGGATCTATCGACCTATTATATTACTATAATATATATTTTGTATTAGTTACAGTCAGCTATAAGCCTGGAGTTAGCCGTAGGCGCATATATATATTAAGTAACTATGTAACGGGCTGAACGCCCTTTGGATAGCTCCTCAATGGAATCTCGGTCTAAGCTGCGCGCGCACCATCCGAACTACGTTCAGACCGAGCAGCGCGCAGGCAGCGCGCTTGGATACTCCGGCGCAACCTTTCTCCGACAAGTAAATAAACACCACGTAAGCAGAGTAGATAGCTCCTTAT